CTAGAAGCGGGCACTGTCAAAACAAGAACTGGAAGTTAATCTGAATGGCTGCCCCAATGTGGAATCTATCAGGAAGGCTGTTGCTCTGGAAGTCAATTCATTTAAAGTATGTCCCAGTCCATTTCATAGAACAGTTGTGGTATGAATAAGGAACAACAGTACATTAACGAAACTGGAACTTGAACTGTATTCAAGTTGTAGAATGTTAAATGACTTTACCAGAATATCTGGAATATGCATGACATTATGAACTTTATGCTTGTCTTAGCTGTTTGAGTAATAGAAAATGTACAACATTTAAAGCTAAAACTCTGGGTTAGTATCCTGTTCCTGAGGTTCTGTTTTGTTGTGGGTATTTTTAATTATTTTATATTTCCCTTAATTGTGAATTTTCAAGGATGATATATTTACGTGCCAGTCATTGTTCAGGAAGAGCGTGTACTCATTTTTTGATGTTTGTTTTTCCTGTTCTTAAATTTTTGGGAATGCTTGCCAAGACAACTTTTCTAAACAGGACAGAATAAAATTGGCCTCTCCCCCATGTACTCGACTTTTTAGAATGCTGTGTGCTTAATAGAATAAACTGTTCCAATGTGGCAAAAATCAGTCAAAGCTTCTGGGAGCTTGAGTTTGCAATGAGTTGCTTGCAGCGCTGATGTGGAAGGATAGAAGCACATTCACAGAACTCTCCTTCTTTCTCCAGTGCCGGGGTCAGAAAATAAACATTGCCATGACTCTTCATATCATGTGCAGTTCTTTGCATGGCAAAGGGCTAATTTCAGGTCCTCGTTGGAAAAAGGACCTGGTTTTGAAAACATGTGGAAAAATGTAACATCCCCTTTTCCAAAATAGCTCAACTCCCTTTAACTCACTGCAGACAGAGTGGAAGCTCTCTAGACTTCACGTGCATCTCAAAATCTGAGCATAGTTTTAGTGCTTGTGGAAGAGGATGACTTTTATCTGGATAGAGAATTTGAGTGTGTGCACCTGCAGAAAGTGTTTCTGCTGAGAGACAGATTGACACAGCTAAAAAAAAAGACAAGGTATTTCCTCTCTCTTCCACCTTGCTGAAAGGGCAGCATATCTCTTAATGTATTTTTTTTAAAAAAATAATGTTTATTACTTTTATAGATTACAAAAAGAGAAAATAAAACAGAAAAAAACAGAAAAAAAGACAAAGAAGGAAAGCAAAAAGAAAAAAAACAATACAATACAATATATAAACAATACAAAACACAACCTAAACTCAAAACTAAACACATTAAACTAAACTAAACAAACCCCACTCCCTAACCTTAACCCTAAATGAAACAAAACAAAAACAATTTAAAAAACATACATCATCTCTTTTCCGTACTCTATCTTTCATTCCCTTGTTTCCTCGACCTCCTCTCACCTCCCTTTTTGTATTCCACTTCTTTTAATTGTTTCAGCAAATCCTTTCCATCTTTCTCCATTTTCTATCATATTGTAAATAACGTATTTTTTAATCTTATTTTCCATTAAAACTAAAATACTTATATATACTTAACTCCTTATAACATTTCTGCTAAGCCCATAAAAATCATTCCACCATTTTTCTATCACTCATTAATTTTACCATAAGTCTATATATAAACTTTAAATTTTCCAATCTTCTTCCACCATCTCCTCTCCCTGGTTTCGGATTCTGCCAGTCCTTTCCGTCAACTCCATAAAGTCCATCAACCTGGTGATCTTATGTCCGAGGCTCTTAACTCTTTTCCAAGTCCCTTCTGCAGGTCTTCTTCATTTTCTTTAATGCTAAAGAGCAAATCTCGGGGAAACTCCAACCTGTCAATCCTTTTCTTCCTTCTGAACAGATCAGCCAAATTTCCATAGTTAAAGCTACAGTCCATAAAGTATTTCAGGGCATATTTCAAGATTCCTCCAAGTCCAAAGGCCCCCAAAACTTCAATCTCCTCCAGGCCCGAGTCCATGTCCCAAAAGTCAGTTAATCCCTGCATAGAGGGATCTTTCCAACTTTCCTTCTTTCGTCCAAGCCGGGGTCCATTCCTCAGAGTCTGACTTTTCCTAGATTCAATCATAAAAGGCCTCAACTTATAGTCCTCAATTTGCTTCTGTAAAGCCACGGATCTCACTTGTATTACTTTATGTTCAACTTTATGTTCAACAACAGCAGCATTCTCCTTCTCCTCCTTCTTCTCCACCATTTGTCCTGCCAAAATGGATTCCTGTACCAAGTCCTGAATTATTTCTGTGTTGATGTTCGCTTTTTGACTCAAATTAGTCACTTTCTGTTCCAAATTATCAACTTTAAAAGTCATGTCATCCATCTTCTTGTGAAGCTGTCCCAGCGAACAGCTTATCTTACATAAAACAGTCACAATGGCCTCTCCTGTCAACATTTTTAGATGGTCCAAGGTCGCTCTCTGGTTCTCAGAATCCTTATCTGCAGCTGGAAATCCCCCAGTTACAGTCCTGTAACAGTTTCAAAAGCTCCCTCTAGAGGGAAACAGTCTCCACTTGTATCAGTTCTTTCAGGCACAACTCAAACATTAAAGATAAAATTTCAGTTACTTTTCCTTTTTTAAACGCAGAGGAGGACAATGGAAACAGTATCTTACTCTTATTTAGCTAGCTGTCAAATCCGTTCTGTCAAATGCACTCTCTCCAAACGTCATCTGGCAGCCCGTTCCCAGGTTCAGAGCAGTGGTAATTTGATTTTTCACTCTCTCCTGCAGGCTCACTAGATCCAAAATTTCCCCCCTCTTCTCCTGCTTCCAAGAGGGGTTTTGTATTTTAAACCGATGGAAATTTAATCCTTTGCCAAAAGCTTTCAAAGACTTTAACTTGTAACGTCTTTGCTTCAGTCTATTTACAAAAACGGGAGGCGGACTTCCTGTTTATGACCTCCCACTTCAGTGCCAAATTAAAGTATTTAAAAATCCAATTTTCCGATTTACTCATGAGTAGTTGTTTAAAATCCAATTGTCCACAGGAAAAAGTCAGCGCTCTCCGGCAACAGCAATGCGGCTTCACTCCGTGAAAAAAGCAGTCGATTCAAAGCACCGCGCCACTCACCCCACGTCGCTCCGGATCCCCAAAACAGGGTTTCCCCGCGAGTAAGGGAGGCACAAAAGGTGCCAGCCGAATCCCAGGTTCACAAGCTTCTCCCGCTTGTGATTTCAATGGGTCTCCACCTTCGCCGTGGCGGTCAGACCCTGTTTTTCACGGAGCAAGTTCCTCCCGAACGGAGGAGCTCCACCATTGCCGGAGGCGCCAACCCGGAAGTCTCTCTTAATGTCTCCTCTTCAACAAGCAAAGGAAAGTTCAGGATAAGTTTCCTCTGCAGGAAAGAGGACCACAGATTGCCAGTGTTCCTGTAATAAGGCATTTATTTATTGAAAATCATTGACTTCCAGTTAACATTATGATAGTTTACTGCAAACACATGGTACTAGTCCCACAGCAACATAACTCCAGAAACCCAAGCAGCAGTGTTTGTAATAATACAATTCAAATTGCTCCTGTCATTGGTTTTGATTCAGAGTTCCATAGGAACAAAGGAATCTGGCTTTTGCAGAGTCAGATCACTGTTCCATGTAGCTCAGGACTGTCAACCCTGACTGGAAGCAGTTTTCCAGGGTTTCAGGCAGGATTCCTTCCCAGCCCTACCTGGAGATGCCAGGGATTGAATTTAGGATCTCCCTCCATGATTCCAGAGTCCATCCATTTGGCAACAGTATCCAGGAAATGGGAAGTACAACTCAAAATATCTAATTAAAGAGGAAGTGCAATGCAAAGCACCTAATTAAAGAGGTACTTTCTGTTTTGGGACTTAAAATTAATAGTATGTTTTGATGGATGCCATGTCCTCTTGTGTTAATTCAGCCAGTCCTTGTACACTGTTAGGAATGAGAATGTCTGTGAATGTTTGGAACTGATTTAAAGCCTTCAAAGGCATTTGTGTAGAAGCTCTTCATGTCTCTAGCTAGCTTTCAGTTAAAACATCCTCCCCCTTCCTGGTGCCTTGCATGGTCAATAGCGAAGGATGATAGGAGCTGCAGACCAAAACATCTGGAGGGGAGCAGGTTGGGAAAACTGAGTTAGAACCAAGCAGATATTTCCAGCCTCAACCTGCAGGAGGGTGTGATTTCCGGAGGAGCCCTGTGGGTTCTGGGTGCACTGCTGGTGGCTAGTCATCCAAATGTAATTCAGAAGCTTCCTCTGGCAACTAATTGGCCACAAATATGTTGTGATTATGCCCACCAGCTAGCAAGCTAGACAACTGCCAGGTGAGAAAGCAGTTCTTTCCACTCTGCATGATAACATGGTCATTACAATATCCTGTTTAGTGTTAATCATATGGTAATCATATGCTGGGAACAGTACAAAGCAAAATAATCACACGGGCCCTCTGCAGACAGTTTCTTATTTCAAATAGGACAGAAACTACGAAGAAGAGACGAAAAGAGCTCGATAAAGCAGATGTGAAGCCATGAGAGATAAGAGTCCACTAGTGCCAGTCATAACATCCAGAAAAGAGCAGTCTCTGGTAGTCCAGAACAGACAGCCTTGAAAAAGGAGCTGCTACATCTCTCATTGTGTAAATTATACACTGGAGCTAAGATCCATTATGGTCTGGTGATAAAGAACTGAATGTGGACCTAGGAGATTTCAGTTTTAACTCGCGCTTCTCCTAGGACTTCCTTGAGCAAGTTACAATTAGCAGGAGGTGAACGCTCAGTCCCAGTTAAAACTCATAATCAGGTCTGATCAGATTATTTCCCCATGTGTCCACTGTACATCTGGTTTTTAATCTGGAGGTTAATTTGGTCCTGATGAAGGTTAATTTGGTCTTGCTTAGGCCCTGATGAACATTTATGGCATTTTACCCAGGAGCATGCGGGGGCTCTGAACCACTTGCATTTTGCATAGCACATATTGGTCTGGCAGTCTCCTCAGTTTTACTTATTTATAAAACTTATACATCTCTGTAATGGATGTAGGGAGAGCATAAGAGATCTCTGGCAGGCCTAGTACACACTCTCTCTCTCTCTCTCTTTCTCTCTCTCTCTGTGTGTGTGTGTGTGCGTTTGAGAGAGAGAGAGAGAGAGAGAGAGAGAGAGTCATCCTAGACCAGCCTTCCCCAACCTGTTGTCTTCCTGATGATTTGGACTTCCAACCTGTGGGAAATTGTTGTCAAATATAACTAGCAAGCATAGGGCTAGTTAATGCGTGAAGGGGTTAAGACCAATTGTATTCCTAGACTCCGCTAGGTCACACTCCTCACCTGGAAGAAAGGAAGTTGTTTCTTCCTTTGTTCATTCTCTATCACCATGTGAACTCACCAAGATAAGATGTGCCTGAGCTTTCTTGCTACAAGCTCAGACCACATGCTTAGAACTATTTCACTATGTTTTGTATCCCAAGATTTCTGCCTGTGTTTAATTGTTGCTGCATGGAATAACACATGAATCTGACCTTTGGAGTTTTGTAAGTAGAGCATTTAAACTTACTAAATGATGTGATTTGTTCGTTGCAAGAGGGACAGAGAGGGGAAGTAGTGTAAATGACCTAAACAGGATATTTAAAGGGTCTAACAGCCTATATTCCTCACATTTCACTGTGCTGCATGATTCTGTGATTTTAATACTCTGCTGTGGGCTTTCTCTTGCTGATGTGTGTGTTTAGCCCCACACTTTGGATCTAGAAATCCAGCCACTTCTTTCATTAATTAATCCACATGGATGATTCATCTATCTACCCCATGCATCTTCTATCAGCCCATGCCAGCATAGCAAATAGATGGATATAATAGGTGCTGTGGTCCAAAATATTTGGGGGCCACAAAGTTGGGGGAGGCTGTGCTGGATCTCGATGGGGCACAAATAAGTGAGTTAAATGATCCAGAGGAAGAGGAGGTGTTGTCTGTGGAAAAGCAATGAAAAGGCTAAGGATTATGTCTGTGTAAAAGCCATGAAAAGGCTAAGGATTATCACTGAAAACCTTGAAGTCCTCATAGATAATGTTGGAACAGTTGGGAACGCTGGATAAAGGGGAGTCAGTCATCAAAGACATGAAGGGTAGGAGTAGAACAGGCTGGCAGAATGCCCTGCAGAAAAGCAACACAGGGAAATGAAACTGTTCGTGAAAAGCCCTCTTTACTTTCTGCTTTCCTCCTGTCCACCATCTTTTCTGAATGTTACAGCAGAAGTGCCACAGAGAAAGGTTGCCAAACATGCTCCAAGCCAACTGTAACTCCTGAGGCCTAGTTCATACTCATTTACACATGCAGGCCAACTTTTTCATACCCTCCTTAATTTATCAGCCTTTTAAACACCATTATCAATAGTTCTTTTGTGAAGCTGGTGGATTGCCTTCATTCTTTGTGTTCTTACAACAGACCTTTGTTTGGGTTTCCCCTCCCCCCCTCCAAATTGGTTGGCGTGATACTTTCTCCAGTTCATTTCTTTTACCTTAATGGCATCTTAGGTGAATTATGAGGAGGCCTTTGAAAATCTCACCGACGAATGTACAGCCACAACCCGCCTTCCTGGGGTTCCTTTGTTTAACCACTGTGTAGTTGTTCAACTTTTCTCTTTTGAACCTGAATGAAACGCAGTGTACTTTATTTAATTTCTACAGCTTTTGTTAGCATAGCAGAGTCAAGGGGGATGGCTGCTTTGTATGACCTCTCCTCCATGGGAATTGTAACTATAATGGGTTTAATTAGCTATGTGGTATTGATGTGATTAGTTATCCTAGCGATTATACTTCTTTAATAAAAGCGCTTCATTTGGGATGCTTTTCTGTTCGGCATTTGTGGAGTTCTTCCGCCTGTATTTCACAACTGTCTATACATCAGAACTGTGCACATATTTTAACAGCACTGACAGAGAGAGGTTATCTTCTGTGGCTAAAGATAATTGGGAAGTAATGATTTTGCCCCCTGGATTCAGCAGTGCTCGCCTTTAAAAAGCAAAGGAGCTGTGGGGAAGGGGAAGGATAAGGAGATCATTTAATAGGGTTAAAAGCTGTCTTTTGAAAATGATCTTCTCCTAGATAGTCTCTTTTTGCAAGATACCACACACTGGGGCAGCAAAATTATCACAGGGCATATGATTTATTTAACAGTATTGTTGAAATAGCATATTATATATAATACACCTATCTAGGATTCCAGAGACTTTTCCATACTGCTAAGGAATAACTTGCTCTACGAGCGCCATGTCGTATTTTAACAGCATATGCAGGAAGTCTTCAAATTATACCAACACAAACGTAATGGGAAGAATTCAACATTGCACTACTGCAAATGTTCTCTTTGTGGCTGGGGAAACCCAGCCAGATGGGTGGGGTATAAGTAATAAATTATTATTATTATTATCATCACCGTCGTCATCATCATCATCATTATTTGTGCAAGCATATCAGCTTCCCCGACGGAACAATCTCCCTGCCCCAGAGCAGCTCTGGGGGGTTCTTCTGACTCCGAGTGAATTTCGGGGAGTATGGGGGGAGGCGAGGGGAGAGAGCCTTGTAGCACAAAGAGAAGCTGTTGTGCACAGGTTCCACTGACAGGGTATATTAGGTGAACCCCGCCTAACAGGTGTAGATGCAGACAGTATGAGGGGTGGCTGTTCATGTTGGGAAGTTTATTAGCCTCATGTAGGAAGATGGCTGCTGGTTCCCTATGTGGACAGTGCCGAATGTGATCATATTAAGCATCCTCCAGGTGTGTTCCTATGCATCCTCAGCTGTTCTTATAGAGAAAATTAGTAGTGAAATTCAATCTAGTGAATTTTAAAATGCATCCTGATAGAAGGACAAATGACCATTTCTTAATAAGATACTTTCTGGTCATGGTGGGTACAAAGGGAACCAAGATGACTTCTTTTACTTAATTGTTAATGACACATATTATGTTATTATTATGAAAAAATATGAGGTGCATCGTATTAAATATGAAGGGAGGGGAAGGGAGAATCCACAAATGGTTAGAGAGATCCATGGGAGGAGATTAATTTACCAAACTCTGTCTGGATGACCCCGAGCTTCATCAACATGCATGAAGCATTACAACTTATTTTGCTGCTCAGAGCTTGTGCCATGTGTGGGTGAGGCAGGGGATTCTTTGCTAATGAAATTGCTTAGGAAAATAATGAAGTCCGCCCACCGTTATTTTGTAGGCATGAGGTGTTATTTCTTTGCCTTCTGCCCTGCTTTGTCTCGATTATTAAGGATTGCTAACTTGAGTGTGAAGGAACGTGTAGCATCCCTGTTTCTCTTGATATTGCCTCCCCTCTTCCTCCCACACTGAAAGAGAAAATTGGAGACCAAGGCATGCCCTTATTTGCCTGCTACACATGATACTGAACAACATGGAATGTTGAGGGTCATTCTATTTCAGCCAAATACATAAATAAAGCCGAGCATGGAAGATTGGGAAAGACATCCCTGAGAGATGGTACCTGTGAGCACCCTGTATTCTTTTCCTTTATTCACTAGGGAAGCTTCCCCCCCTTCTTCCCCCATAGCTCATTAAATCAATAAACTCAAGTGTCCTTTATTTTAATCCTCTAATCCAGTAGCAAGGAGAGTGGAGGTTAGGCTTTTCAGATCACTGTTTCAAACAATGGGATAACATTGACAAAAAAAGGTTGATTCTTATACCTTGGTGTTCATGAAAATGCTAAGCAGCAGGCTGGCGCTGGGCTTCTCGCCACTTCCCTTTATTTCATTTTTCCCGTGATGTAAAAAAAGAATTTAGAATCTGTGACATGCCAAGCAGCAAAGACAGCAGCTTTCTGAGACATTTTGTTTAGCTTGATGTTGTACAGCTGTGATGAGATAGTTAAGGAGGCTTCTGTGTGTGCATCCTGCATGCATTTCTGGATTGACAGTTTACAGTGGCAGGCTCCTCTTTTCTTCCCCATAAATGAGGTACAAATAAAAACAGCTCATACGTTCTGAAACTGAGCAATACATAAAGTTCACAACTGTGATAAGGGCTGAAAGAAAGCATTTTATGGGTGTTGAGATAGGGATCTTTTCCCTTATATTCTGGGTACAGCATGGTTATCAACTCAGTCAAGTATACGCATACACAAGAGAGGCTTTTTCCACCCAAGTGATTTTTGTCACTTGCTATATCTGGAACTGTTTCAGTCCCTAAGCCACACCCACTTTGCAACTGCTCCGAGACAGGCACATGAAAGTTACATACTCTTTCATCCTCTGCACTGGCAATAAAAAGTTGCAAATGGGTGATAAGCAAGTTGTCAGAATCCCTGCTCCATGATTGCTGTCATGGGATTGTTGTCTTTCACATGACGGTATATGTTTTGACTCCACAGAGTGGGAAGTGACAAAGATAGGATGTTTGTGTTACTGTGTTCCGTGAAGTGGGACTATTGTCCTTTGTTCTTTCTCTCTTTGCTGTCTGGTGCTAGAGAGAGAGGGAGCCATGTTGCAGTGCTCCGTGTGTGTTTATATGCAAATAAAGTAGATTAGCCAAAATGCTGAGTTGCTGAGGTCTGTTACACATGTTGCGCAAACTCTGCGGATCCCTAAGTGTGCCGATGTCTGTTGGCATCGGTCGCTGTGATGTTTGCGCAGAAGAAAGCTTTTGAAGCTCCCAAATGATCGACCAGGAGGGAGAGTACATGCCAGTCGGGTATGTGTCTCTGCCAGGGTCCTACTCGAGTGTAGGCTGAGCTCCTGGCATTCATCATTTTACTTAAAAATAACGTGAGATGCCTTCTTGAGCATGGGAGCAAATCTGCGCAATTTCATTATGACACCTACCTTTATTTCTGAAGCAATGCAAACAGGATTTCTTTTTGTGTGCAGAAGGGACGGGTTCTCTGTTCGGTTACCTCCTCTTTTTGGGTGGTAGGGGCCTTCCTGAAACTGCACCTAACTATCAGTACATAAATGGAATCTTTTTTGTGGACCTCAATTTATTGGTGTGCACACAAGAGTGGCACAAGAGAGAGATGACATCTCCGGAATGCCTCCATCAAGTAGCTAAGCAAGTATTATTCCATGGTACCAGTTTGGGCTCATGGTGTTGATGCTCAGTTTAAAGTGCTGGTTTTGACATTTAAAACCCTAAATGGCTTGGGATTAGACAAGAGGATTAGACAAATTA